ATAAAATACTACACACTCCAACATTTCCTTTTTGATAGCTGAGAAGTATGTAAAACTGTTCTTCATTAAATTTAAATGGACTCATTAATAAAATATTGAGGATGTGCTACTTTAAGACATCAGAAAAAAAAAGGTATAAATTGGTGATAACGTTATTTCTATTTTTAAATACATCCCACAGAGGCACCCAAGATAGATGAGAAGTGCTAAGCCCATCCCACAAGCTTATTTATTTATTTAATACTTCTTACGTGCTATTTTTAACCGCAGAAGACAGCAAAAGGCATCCATTAGAAAAATTACATTGGTTAGAGTTTTCCTCACCCAAGTGAGAGAAGTGAAATACCTGGCTAAACACAGTGTTAGGAAGAAATGGGTTTTTTCCTCCCTTTCCTATAGGTTTCTGGAATAAAAAAAAGCAATTTTATTTTTGCAGCATCAGCTAGGCCAGAATCTGTGTCTGCAAAACCTCTGTCAGTTCTTACTCTCCCCAGCCCCCTCTTTCCACTCCTCCAACTTCCCACAAGGTTTAATTTTGTAAGTAATACACGGTTTGAACGCATCCACAACATGCTTACCACAGAGGGACAGTTAAAATGTAGACGTATGGGTTTGGTTCGGTTTTTTTAAGCCTCAGTGGAGCACAGAGAAAGTAAATGAGAGGAAATGCCATAATCTCATACTATTGCATCATTTTGCAGAAGACCTATTCCTTTGGGAGAGAAAAAAATTAGTTAAACGGTTTCCATTTTTTTCAATAGAGTTAAAGGAATTTATCTCAGTTGATGCTGGTTTTCCTTAGGAATCAAGATTCTTTGGCGAGCTAAGAAATCAAAGGAAGAATGTTCCATCCTTGTCTGTCCTATACATCCTTGTATTTGTGATAGCACAAATACAAGCTCTCATGTACAAAAATGCCAGAGCTACGCTGTCAAATTATTTACTTAGGGGAAAAAAACCCCAGAACTCTTGACTTGATTTCCACGTCATCTTCCTCAATGGTTGCTTTCTTTGGGGAAATACAGTGTTCCCATGCACAGCCTGAGCAGCAAATTTTCCCTTTTCCTCCCACTTGAAGAAACAAAGCCTAAACTCGGAGGAGGCAAATCCGTCACTCCTGAGCAGTTTCTACCTGGGTTTCTGGTGGACCAGAAGACAAAACTGCACATAGGCTTTTAGGTGCTATTTCAGAAGGCTCTACAAGCATTTTGATTCTCACCCTAATTTTTGCTACAGAAGATGCAGCCTGAACTGGATGTGGTTTTGCTGCCCGGCCAGGTAAACAGCTACAGACAATAATAAGGGTACAAAAGATGAATTTCAGAGGTGACAACGGGTCCCCTGCCATGCTCCAGGTCCCCATGCAGAGCCCAGGGCAGGGTGGGAGGAGAGAACCCCACACGGGGCATGGCACTGCTCAGCAGTTACACGGGTAAATCCAGGTGGTAGTTAAAGTCAGGTAAACACAGGACTTGGCAGTTAATGCATATGCAGCAGCTGGATTTCTTAAACAGCTATTTTCCCTTCTTTTTAATTTTTCCACAAAGGGAGTTTTTGTAAACAAAAACATGGAGGTTTTTGGTGTCACTCAGAACAAGGACAGTTTGTTTGTTCTACCTGGCTGGAGATAAGCTCAGTTTGCTGATTACTGAGCCCATAAATGCAAGGCTTTTATTCATAATCTATTCACACATGGTACTAACAATGCTTGATGACTAAGAAAATACTTGAATTTCTAAAAGAAGTAGCTTTCTCTGGAGTGGAAAGGTCACATTGCACAGAGAACTATGCAAGCAACTGATGCACAAGGAAAGTGTCACCAGCAGAAAGTTGGATAAAAAGCAAGTAACGCAATTTTGTGGGTACGAAAATCACTACTAAACTCAAGATCCTGAGTAAATATTCAAAATATTCCCTGTATTTGGAATCCAGCCTCAGGCCAGGCCTGACTTGGGCAACAGAGCGTCTGAGACAAGTTTCGTTCCTGACTTATTTCTGAAATATTCTGACTATTCTGCACGTGGGCCTTAGAAAGCAGACCACAGTCTGCCAGTAGTAGGCAGGACCCCAAGCAAACTGTCTGCGGAAAAGCCAAATTCAAGAGTTCACATACTTCATCTCCCTTAAGTATTACATTCAATGACATTAAAAGGGCTAATTTCCAGGGCACGCCATCCATCCTACATTCCTGAGACTGCCCAAGAGAAGAAATGTGAGTTATCTGCCCAGTTTGGGATTTTTGCTTGCAACCAGAAACTGTTGGGACTTAAAGCCTTAAACTCTAAATAAGATTAATAGGCAGTTATTTAAGAGACTGTTTTCAAAATTTGGGAGCATCGAAACTATACATCACCCATCCTCTCTTCTCATGAGTGAGGAGCACGGACACACGAGCGACTCCATCTCAGAGCCCGAAGACACATTCTTCCAGGCAGATTAAACTTTCCCACTTGAATAAAATCCTCCTCTGCAATTACAAGTTGTTATGCCACTCTGATGAGAGGAAGCAGAGACCTAGCATGTCAAATGGCTTCTTTGCACGACTCAATGCCATAAATTTAACATTTCCCCTGGAACTGCTGTTTGTATGTACACTTGTGCAACATTTAAACTGAATACATAATCTAATGCTGTCAAAATAGCTTATTACTGGGGTCTCGTCAAATTCCATTACCGCATTATACAAATAATATCCCTCTCACTGCAAAAGCATGCTCGTGACTCAAATTTTCATTTACTAGAAGAATTGTGTTTCTATGAGTCTTCTGTGTATGGCCACAAGCAGCCGCAGAGCCTCACTGCAGAGGGTGAGGGTTCACACATTAAGAGATGATTCTTTAAGCTGAAGTCTGGTCTGGACAGGAATACTTGTAACCATAGTGGAAGGTAATCTATATTTTGTTAAGCCTGCCCCATATATAACATTGAATTTTCCTGACCTCTACTATTTTTATTTTAGCAACTAAGCAAAACAATGCAGCGATTACCTTAGGTCTGCAAATAAATCTCTGAGAAAGTAATTATTTCAATTTATCTGAATGGTGACTTAAAATTATCAGTAACTTCCGTATCAATTTTGCCAGACCCTTCTCACCTACAGTTCTCTCCAGCTCACAAGCTTCCTAAACACCCAGCTTCTTCTGGCATACTTTCAGCAATCTAGATGTTTTTGGAAGGACAAAAATCCAGCAACACTATCGATTTAGAAGGTGAATATTCTGATGTTTTCTGGACACAGAATAAATAACTATTTAAAGGACATTACTGATACATAAAATCAGGAAGCCCAGTAGGTAATTTAGGATTTCCAGATTCTGACCAGTTTTATGAACTGGTACAAGATAAAAAATAGGATATGACAACCACAGGAAAATAAGTTTTCTGATACCGGTTCCATGCTGGACAACCTGACACCTTTCTCTGTCTTTTGAAAACAACACTAGACTATAGCAGGGAAATTATTTTTCTCTCTCCAATAGATTGGGCCTAGAACGCACACACACCTCCAATAGGTCTGTCAAAGAGGGGACCTGCGATCTCCTTGGCATTGGCAGGTTCTGGAAATAATTGACATATTTCTCTTTAAAACTACAGCTACTACAGAAATCATTTCTATAGGTGTAACTGCCCTTGACAAAAAGTCACTTGTTATCAGTCAAACCAGCAAAACACAAACCTCCTTGAAAACAAACAATGATCTGGAGAACCACAAAAGATCGCCCATGAATTATGGAAAAGCCAGGTCCTGTTGCAGCACTGGAAGTTTCCACCTCTCAGCGGGTTTCAGAGATCCTGACTGCTGAACAGGAGAGGGGAAAAGAACAACTAATAAAGTTTCACGCTTTAGTATGGGAAAAGACAGATCCCCAAAACCACTTTCTTCCAACATGATCAACTGTGACTTCTCAAGGAAACTGAGGTCCTAAACACCATCAATAAAAGAAAAAAAAATATATATATGAGTAGTCACTCTCGTGAAGGCCAGTTACCCCGGAAAGCAAGGTACACAATCTTCCACGTCATCTTTTCTCTTCCTAGGAGACCCTAATCAGCACATATATAGTGTCTTTTATACAGGATTCAACTCCATGTGTCTGGAACAAGTTCACTTTTTGGTGCAAGCCTCTTCATGCCCCTCCTAGAAGAGAGGACACCAAGCAGAGCCTGACCAGAACACACACACTGGCTTCAGTTCCCTGTATTTTGTTACGGGTTTTTTGGTGTGGGTTGTTTTGGTTGTGATTTGTTGGTTTGTGGTGGTGTTTGGTTTTTTTTTTTTATTTTATCCTGATTCTTTTAGGTTACTGAAGCTACAAATCCATCCAGCTTTTAAAATGTTTTTCTTTTTAAATGCAGAACTTGAACTGTATTTCTATTGGGAATAAAGGGGAGTGATTCATCTCAGAGGGTGGAGTAAAGGAGAAGAGAATTTGAAAAAAGAATTCAGAACAACAGAGCAAAGGGGAAAGTACCTGAAATTAATGCTTGCAGTTTATCTTCTACAAGATCCTAAAGCTGATTGCCAGCACCAAGTTTTTCAGAAAGTTTTTCATACTCTTCAGAAAAAGAATTTAAAAAACAAAACCCAAAACAATTCAAGTGCCAAAGAAACCTGAAAGATCACCAAAAATACCTACTCCCTTCCAAAGGAAGGATAGGGAAAAACTAAGAAAATTGTACCTGTGAGTATGCAGGTGTTCTGAAAGATTACAAGAGTAACAAGAGTTGTATACAGAGATCAGACTCTTAAGTTGTGTATTACACCAAGTACCTGACCATACATTCAAATTTAGGTAATGACAGAAAGGTAGCCTTTCTTCATCCCTCTACACTGATGTAATTCTGCTTTGAAACACCAAATTGAAAGACACTGTGCATACTGAAATACATTTAAAACTATTGCATATATGTCTCAGTTGATTTTCAGGTTAAAAAAAACCCCAAACATTTGTCTTAACCTACTGTTACACTTAGGCCACATCCATCTTAGATGAACCTACCATGTGGTAGTGTTATGTTTGCACCATCAATGATTGCTTGTGCCAGTTCGTGATCATTGCTCTCGAAAGCATGTGCAGCCGCCTTGAGGGCATCCCAAATCTCCTTGCGACCTTCGAAAGCTGGTGCTGTGTCCCAAAACTCGTCTCTCTTGCTGCGCAACTGTCCGTCTGTCATGGGGTAATCACTTTTCCATTTCGGTTTCTCTTTTTTCAAGGGCTGATTACGACCGAGAGCAACTGCGGAAGAGAAAGAGGAAGGGAAATTTTTAAAAAAAAAAAGTTACAGCACAAAATTAATGAAGTGCCCTTTGATTATTCTGTTTAGGATGTATGGTGCTTAAGTTTACTTTCAGGCAATCCTGATCCTTTTTCCCCCATCTCCTTTGAGGCACCACCTTCCTTCCCTGGGCTCTGCTTGGAAAAATTGAGGGGCTACCTCCTGCTGCTCGCTGATTTCACCTGCACCCCCTGAGCACCCCAAAACTTCTCCCCAAGCTCGCCAGTAACTCCACATCCCCCCACCTGTGCCATGTGCGCCCGGCTGGGAGTCTTGTGTCCAATATTCATCTGTCGAAGGCTGGGCCAGTGGTACAGCCAGACCCCCATTATCCCACCAGTGGTACAGCCAGACTCCTGTTATCCCACCAGTGGTACAGTCAGATTCCCGTTATCCCACCAGTGGTACAGCCAGACCCCCGTTATCCCACCACCGGGATGCAGCGAGACCACACTGCACCTGGATCTCCACCCTATGCTGCCAGCAACTCTCTGCTCAACAGACACGATATTCTGTTAATACAAGAGTTTTAAGAGGCTAAGGGTTTGGTTTTTTCTTTTGCATCATCTCCTTTTAAACAGTTTTAATTCATAGTTAAGTATATGTAGAACTGCAAGTAAGACACACAGTCTAGAACTGACAGAGACAGAAATCCCTAAAGAATAATCCAGGAATCTATCAAGCTTTAAAAAGTCGTTACCTCATTCACAATAAGCAGGAAAGCATTTGTTTCATTTTAACTACAGCTATTTCTGTGTAATAGCCAGTTAAGATAATCACATGGTATCACAAGGTATGATGATGGTGGATTAAAACTACCTGCTCGCTTTAAATTACAGCACTGCTATGGCTGTGCTAAACCCTTCTCTTTCCACGAGTAAGGGGTTATTTCAACTTCTGTTGAAAGGAAAAGGAAAAGAGAGCAAACTTCAGTGCATAGCGGGAAGAATTTCTCCCTGCAGGAGTTAAAACCCCATTTCCTTCAGCAGCTCACTGCAACGGGACCCTGCGAGGACAGTATGGGGAGGAGAACAGTGACAAACCACAAAAACAGTTCTCATCACGGCTCCATACCGCAAACCCTTGAATACATAGCTTAAGTGTCTCCAGAGGAAATAAAGTGTCCTTCAACAGTTAAACTAAATTTAAGTGTGATTGCAGCTGAAAATAAGCAGCCCCTCCATGGGACAGCTCACAGAAACTGAGTGATGAGTACTGAATGCTCAGTGCAGGTAAGCTACACAAAACTGAAGTCAATTAAGGATCCCACCACATATGATGTTGGAGTGACATCCTCTCCTATGCTCTCTGTGAAGAGCCCTCGCCATCCCAAGAGAGCAGAGGAACCCCAGCTGCCATCAGGCCAGGGACACATGAAGAGATGCCATCTGTCACCCCATGTCCATGTTATTGAGGTTGAAATGTCTCTTACCAGAGCGAGACACCACTATATTACTTCCATATCAAAGCCTGTGGAGCAAAGCTGCTGCTTATCAGGTGCTCCTGGCTAATCTGCAAGGATGGGAGAGCACCGGGACAAACACAAGGGTTCACATCTAGCATTCTGTATCCCATGTCCATCCCTAGAGATAATAAAGAAACGTTTTGTCTCTCCACATCCGCTTATTTTTCTGGCAAAAAGTTGACAATAGCTGACAAAAAAACCTCTCTCGCCTCAATCTTACTCCAGCATTCAGTTTGCAATGGAAGAATGCTGCAATGTCTAAATATTCTTCTTAGTTCTTAATCTACACTTCTGCTGTATCCCTACAGTTAACTACAAACCTTATTTATGGTAAAGAGTATGGCGGGGGGTAATGGACATGACTGAGAAAACTAATTGTCAATATATCAGAAACACTCATTTCAGGTAAGTTGCAGCATTTTGCAAAAATAGTATAATTCAAATATTCCTTTTCCTTCCTTGTTTTTTTTTCCTGCCACAGATCACTCAGCCTTTTTCCAAACAGCAGCTAACTCCAAGCACTGCATCTCAAGGTTGACCACCTGGTGTTGCAGGAGGCATTTCAACTTCATGCAGCCTTTAAGGAGACTAAACCACATACACAAGATTATACCCTGCGCCCTTACACAGTCTGACTTTATATGACCAAAGAACTACCTACTTAAATTTGTAACTTAGAATGACATTCACACCTGAGAAGCTGAGACTTAAGTCACTGAAAATAGGATATTTAAAAGAACTTCTGATGGTAAGGTGACATTGCCAATGATGTCAAAGCATGAGCCTTCTTCAGATTAGAAAATAAAATTAAACACAGGATGCATTTGCATGGAAACAAAGTCAGATCATAATTAAAAGTAGCAAATGACAATCGCATGGCACACATGCAATGTCTCCAGCAGGCATTCTGTATCCCACGCAGAAATTAACAATAATAAACTTCTGAATCCTTTTGAAGTGACCACAAACATTTATTGCTTTTTGTTTCCATGGGATTGCTTCCATGAGATTGCTTCCATTTGCTTTTCAAAGAAGTGCTGACCATTTAACAGATTTCAGAGCAGCAAACCCAAGTGTTTACAAAACACCAAGTTTCCTGGCAAAGTCCAGCCTTTCCCAGTCCAAGCCTCAGCTGAGCACACACAAGCTGGGAGCTGATGATGGTCCAGCCTAGAACAATGGTGAAGGAGGCAGCCCAGACAAGATGGACTACACGCATTAAACAGTATAGTATGAAACTGTAAAAACGTATGTGGTAAAACACTTAAAGAAGGAATTGTTCCCTTATTAAGGCTTAGCAGTCAGAGCATGAACACTTCAGACAGACAGAGCAGGACAATGCAAGAAATTTGGGTCAGTGGGCATCTTTTCTTCCATTCCACTTCGGCTAACATCTGTTTGCGTGTACAGTGAATGAATGCTAATTTATCCCACAGGGCACTCTCCTTCTCCCCAAACATTAATTATGAAAGCGGGTTAAAGGCACTTCCCGCAGTCCCCGAGCACACAGCGCTGCCCGTTACCCGGCACCGCGGCAGGAACCGCAACGGGCCCTTCCTCTTCCTCGCTGCCCCTTCGCCCCAGACTGCACCCGCCTGCGCTGCTCCGAGCTAGACAGGAATAGCAGGGGAGAGACTAAAGAGACAGAGATCCTAACAGTCTCAGATAACTTCTCCCCGGAGATAACAATCCTTCCTACACAGACAGCAGTGATGATAAACCCAGTGATAAATTCTTTTTTTTCAAGCGGGAAAGAAGGATGGTGGGAGAAAGGGACTTTACAAATGCCTCTAAAGCCAAATCCACTCTAACAAGCCATCCATACCAGTACTAAGCCTTTAAACACAACTTGGCTTCACAAGCCAGTATTTAAAAAGGTCTTTAGCATGTTTACCGTTTATTAGAAGTGCTTCAAGAATCCCCTAAAAGTTTTGTGCTTCCCCCGAAGAAATATTAATCTCTCTCTAGCTGTGTGGATAGATGGAACGGAAGGGATACAAGAAACTCAAGACATGTAAAAAAACCTAATGCGTAAAAGGGCCTCAATGTCTCACTTTCCACCTTATGTTTTAGTCACTAGAGAGAAACATCACTACGCGAATTTCTACAAGTGAAATTCTGGACCACATCAAAGGACATTCCCTTTTCTGTAATAATGCTGATAAAGAGTAGTCTGAATAGGCAATGAAACAAACATCAGCAGTCTGAAACACTTTGTCAGGTATTTACAGTGTCAATTTCATATTCCTCGCTTTGGAAGTAAACTGGAGCTCAAAAGAAAACGTTGACTTCATTTAAGACTACGCACATCAGACGCACAACAAGCTTGCAAGATCTGGAAGACAAAGTAACATCCACATTAATTTTTCATCTTACATCACTTCAACATAAATAAGAAATTATTAATATCCTGCTTGAAAATATGAATAGTTTTATAAATGCCAAGAAGGCATGTTCTCTCTGAAGCAATACTGAACGTTACCCATCTCAATAGACGGCAATGGCTGATATTTTTGGCAAGAGCTTTATTTAGAAGGAAATATGAAGACCATTAACAGCCCACTTTTCGAAAAGGAAGAGATCGGCACATTAGTGACACTCCAAAATCATTCCGGTTGTTCTTGCTCCAGTAGCTCACAGATATTCATGTGGTGCTGTGCATCCCAAAGAGGGGTAAGAAGCTGCTGACAAGCTGCAGGACCTTGCCTAAGAGCAGCCTTTCTCAGGGGAGGAGACCCACACAGTGATATGTGGCCTTAGAAAGGCCTTTCCTGGGCTGCTCAGAGGGGTTACTGAAGAGTGATCACAGATGTTCTTCACCCTCCTGGGCACTGGACCTGTTCTAGGCAGAGAGCTGCCATATTAAAGATGCCTCCTGCCTTGTTCCCCTCCAGCACCCATCCATCCAGCACGTCTGCCATCCAGGTGTCCCTACATAGGCAAAATCCAAGCCCCCTTCCCTGATCAAGCATCACTTTATTAGACTGTTTCACACCTCAAAGGGACCTCAAACCACTGGCAGACAAGCAGTGGGCTGTTTCCATCCCATTGGTAAGATTTAGCAGCATATAATGTGTTTTCCCTTCACAGGCAGAAGAGCACCCAGGGATCCTCGAGGTAGCTACTACTGTCTGCCCCACTAACCTTAGCTCCTGGCAAACTACCAAGCCTTATTTTTCAAAAGGAAGGATGTATTTGTCCAGTCCTTGCAGACTATCTTATAAACGGAATTATGCAGGTTTGTCTCCCTTCCCTGCAGCTTCCCATCAAAGCAATGGCATCGGTAAGGTTATCTACACTTCTTTTAAGTGAGCTTATGCAGATAAATCCAGATATTTAAATCAGTTTCTTAACAGAATGTCAAAAAATGTCAAAGTAGAACTTTTTTTTTTTTTTAAACAGCTGTTGTGTTTGTTACGTCGCTGTCAATGAGGATCACAGTACTGCTGCCTCCTCCAAAGCGGACCAGATGAGGAGGAGCAGCTGGTAACGGAA